CATGGTAGGTCCATGTAAACTTAAGGGTGCCACAAGATTAAACGCGTCAATTTTAGTGGTAAATTTATGCATTAGGCCAAAGGCAAATATATAATATTAATTCAAACCATTCAATGAAATTACCTTAAACTAATGAACAGAATACTAAATTGTCATTAAAATAAATAGAACATTAATGTATAGTTCATAATTTACAATACAAGGTAGAATATAAAATCTAAAAAATAAATAGAAAACATAAAAGAAGTCACCGTGGAGCTATAGAACGAAAAACATGAGATGGAGAATTAGAAAGAACTACTATAGGATCTAGAGGAGTCAGAGAAGGTAGAGATGCCAGAAAAGAAAAAGTCAATGGAGCGGAGGGAGCTGTTATAGCAAAAGGAGCTGGCAAAGCAGAAGATCAGTTTTGAGCATACATCTCCATCATATGTTGCTGCTACAACATAAGCTCTGTAATTTGCTACTGCTTTGCTTTAAGTTGAGCCCGTAGATCCTGGATCTCTCCTCAGGACGCGCCTTTGGCTGAACTAGTGTGGCTTTACCTGCTAAAGTCCCAGGGCAGCGGTTGTAGAAAACTGGTGACTGCGAACCAATGTCATACACCTTTCTCTTTTTCTCGCCTCCTGCGACTTTAAAATAGAACTGGAACTCATTGATGGTAGGTTGCTCATCAGCTGAGCCTGAGATGAAGTCGCTTGCTCTTTTCAAGTAGTATAACCATCCTGAAAATGAAGATAGTAAACAATATCAGAAAAATGTAAAAAGTGCAAATATTATGTACAAGTGAAGAATTCTAAACTTTCTCTAACAAGCTTTGCACGCTTATCAATGAATGTGACCTCGTTATAATTCTTCGTGTATGTGTAGGTGATGACCTCCATCGGGGTAGGCTCACGACCCAACTTATTCGCCTGTAATGCAATTCATAACACCATAAATATTTTTGAATCATTTAAGAATGAAGCTATAATTCTTTAAGTGGAGTCAACTCACCAATTTCTCAGTAATCTCAGCTGCAGATATGGAACCTCCAGTGTATCAAGACGAACCAACGCATTTCACTGACCTATTATGTAACATAATCTCACATCTCCTTACATATTGAGGATCAAACCAAGCCTGCCGGAAGCTAGCCTAGACCATTAAAGCTCTAATACCATGTTGAAAAGTGGAGATCGAGAGGAGAACAAAAAAAAAAAGTATAAACACTAAATAACTAAAGACAATAGAAATTTACAAAGAAATATAGAGTTTACGTTAAAAAGACAATTTTATTTTTTCTTCTTTTTCTTTTTCTTCATATTCTCAGCATAATAACTCTCCTCTCTCAACTCTCTATCTCCACGTTATTCTTATAATTTGCTTTAATAGAGATTGCTTTTACAGTAGCAAAATATAAAATATCTTTGCTCCAAGTTAATATTAACTCTCCTAAAATTAAGGAAATTTATCTCCTTTTTTTCATGTTAGAATTAAGCTCTTCTACAAGTTGGTATACGAGACTCACAATGGCATATGTCACAACACATCTCAATAATATTAATTATTACCAAGCAAGAAAATTTAAGGTTTACTAGATGGATCACAGTAGTAATAATGGTAACTTGTGACCAATTACTATTTGAAAAAGGAGTTCATCTCTATCTTTTCTGGCCAGAGATTTAGATTCCTTTGAATCAAAAGGAAACTTTATTCTCTTCTTGGATGACATGGATTGCATATACATATATAAGCTGTTTGATTCTTGGGCTTTTCGTGAATCTAGTATTTTTCTCTTTCGATGATGAAAATATTACCAGGAATTATCCAAGTGTAAAATGTTCTGAGCGTATTAGCTGGTTCTAATGTTTTGAAAATCAAACCGGACTAGCCGGTTAAACCGGTTAACTTAGGAACTGATGCCTGGTTTGGTCTGATTTGATGCTTAAAATCGGATGATTAAAAAACTGAATCCAATCGAAAAGACCGAAAGCCGGATGACTTGGAGTGAACCAATTTTATGCCATTTTAATGTCATTTTGAATAAAAAACCAAATTCCTCTCTTATTTTTTGCTCTTTGTCATTGCTTAATGTTAGCAACTATCTCTCACTCTTTTTTCTTTCATCCTCACTCTAAAATAGAAGATGAAGATGAAAGATTGTTGAGTCTTTTGACCTTCTCTTTTTCTATTTCTTTTTTTTTTTTGTGCGAGTTTTGATAATTTTTTTTTTTTTGTTTGTTATTCTTTTAATGTGTTATTTATATGAAAAGGGAAGAGGATATTTAAGATTAGCAGCTCACTAGTTACTAATGTGGTACTTGAAAAACCTAAATGCTTCCGACGTAGAAAAGATAAAGAGCTGTCAAAATTTTCAAGAACACACGGGCTTTAGTTTATTATCTAGGCTTTAACTAGTTGAAGGCCCGTGTATTGCGTGGGTTGATTGTTTTATTGTTGTATATTATATTTTATAAATTGTATTTAATATATTATTAAAATATCTATTTTTCCGTAGGTTGCATTGTTAAATTGGCATATTATAGAGATTGTAATAATTTAAATAATTATAAAATTTAATATCATGTTTAGGTAATTTTATATAGATAATTTAAACAATTTAAACACCATATATTAGCGTAGAGAGTTCTACAAAATTTTTAAGATTCAAATAATTTAATATGGATATTTAATATGGATAATATATAGATAAATATCATTTATAATTTAATTAATGCAAAACATAGAAAATATAGAAAAATTAAAATATTAAATATTAAATATAACAATTTCAAATAAAAAGTTATTTTAGTTTAATTTAATATATAGAACTTAAATAGATTAAAAATAGAAAGTTTTATACAAAACAAAGTCTTAACTATTATATCTGTATTTTTAATTAAAAAATTTGAATTTGAAATTTTTTAAAATTTTTAAAGACCTAATTTTTATGTTTTAATTATATATATAACCACAGTGTCTAGTTAAATAGTAAAAAAAAAAAAAATTTCCGTAATTTCTTAAAAAGAATAGAGAAGCTTATACTTATCTTTTTTTTTTTTTTTTAATTTTTTTTAATGAAAGAATGCTTATATTTCTCAAATAATAAACATAATTTATATGAGAGTGATAATATAATAATCTTGTGTCCTAAAATATCAAAATCTTTAAAAATACTAATACTCAAAATATGAAAATTAGAAATAAAATATTATTTGGGGTGAAAAGGTACAAACGTAAAATAATTAATATTGAGTTTGTGTGTTCATCTGCTATTGGGATTTTCAAATACAAAGACATAACCTACCAAAAAAAAAAAAAAAAAAAAGAGAAATCCATAAAAAGTTCCTTCCACAAATAGAAAAAGAAAAGGAATGAAAAAAGAGATTAAAGAGTTAATTTCCTCAGTTTAAAAAGATGGTGATATATCTAGAGAGTTAATATTGTCATAATACTATTTAAAATATGAAAAAAAAATAATAACATATATATCAAAAATAAAAAAATAAATAAACATAACACAATCAAAATACAAAAAAATTGAAAGTAAAATAATTGAAAGAGGCAACAAAAAAAGTAAAACAAAAAAGCCATTGTGAAAGAAAATTATGGCATAAGAATATTTAAAAATAAATATAAGTATATAGATAGAGATAAAAAAAAAAACTCAAAAAGTTTTAAAGTTCAAATTTTAAAAATTTAATAGTTTAGAAATGGTTTATATTGGGTTTTATATCTTGAAGAAAAGAATAAAAAAACTTATATATATATATATATATATAGATTATTTTTCTTACTTGCAAATGGGTCAACTAACTTATTGTTGTTATATTTTGTTTCTTTTTTTCTAAATGATGTTTTGAAAATATGAAATGATTAATTAATAAAAAAAGTAAATATATTATCTCAATTATTAAAAATAAAATGATTAATAATAAAATAAAATTATTAAAATTTAATAATTAATTATTATTATGAGTTTTTAATTATTAATTATAAGATAAAAATATGTATAGCATGCACGTTTGAGTAATGTAAGTACAAATATAATTTAGCGATAGATATGCATACAACTTAGATATTAAATTAAGGTTGATTTTCTCTTTCGTCGTTACTAAAACACAAACACAAACACAAACACACACACACACACACACACACACACACACAAAAATACACACAAAAATATATATATTATAATATATATATATATATATAAAAATAAAAAATATATAATTAAAAATAATATATAATATTTATTTGATATATTAAATAATATTAATATATTGACATAACTAATTTATTATTATTGTTGATAGTTGATGATAAATGGTTTGAAAAAAATTATATATTTAGAATATTATTACTTTTTTTTCTATCAAGTTATTTACAATTAGTTTTTATAAATACTTATGAAAATAAAAAATGACAAGAACCGGTTGAACCAAGTTGATCCGGTTCTTGGTTCAACCGCGATCTAGTTATAAGCCAGTTCAATCTTTAGTCCGGTTCATACCACATCTATAATGCCAATCCTTTTTTTTTTTTTTTTTTTTTTTTTTTTTTTGAGAAAATAATATTTTGTTTGTTAAATTTGGGTGTTTATTTTTTTTTTTTTTTTTTTTGAGAAAATAATTTTTTGTTTGTTAAATTTGTGTTTATTATTCTTACACCCTTTGAATGGTTGCTAAAATGCGTATGGGGCAAAGAGAAGGGCAGTATATATTCTGCTTGTGTAATTGCAGTTTTAGGCGGACAAAATTAGCAGTTTTGATTTCACATTTTCAACGGTGATGATCAGTTGAGCTTTTAGCATTTGGAACTACAATACACTTGCTATCAACCAATTTAATTGACGAAATTCCATCAATTCCTTATTAAGCTACGGTTACAGGGCTATAAATGAACCAATCAATACTTGATTCGATAAAAGCTCGGCTAGATTCAAGTTCGGTTTCTAAATGAACTAAATTTAAACTTGATTTTTAGGCTACTTTAATAAATGAACCAAGCTCGCATTTGAAAAAGCTTAGCACGGTACTTATGTCTTCATTGTTCATGGCAACTATTGATATTATGCCTTTTAAAAAAAAAAAATTGTGAAGATATTATAAAATAAAATCCCATTCTCAATGAACCATGAAAATTTTATACCTAATATGCTCCATCACCAAACTGAAACAGGAATGATAGCAGTTCAGTTGCCTGTGGGTCTAATTTATCTCCTGACAAAAAGACATGAATTCTTCCATTTAGCACTATCCAACTGCATCCAGGGACCTTCCTCACACCTTTCATACCCATCTTCTTCCTCAATTTTTGCTCCTCGATATGGTTGCCACTTGCTGCATACATATTGCAGAGAACTACATGTGCAGGTGCATTTAGTGGATCTAGCTCAAGGAGTTGCGCAGCGGCTCGTTTAGCTATGCCAGCATTTTTTTCACTAAAACTGCATAAACCAAGCAATGCACCCCAAATAGCATGATTTGTTTCAACAGGTAATCCCAAAATGAATTCTTCTGCCTCTTTCACTTTCCCTGCTCGGCCCAAAAGATCAATCATACAAATGTAATGCTCCAAACCTGGTTGAATTACGTAAACATTATTCATTGCATTAAATAACTCCCATCCTTTACTCAGTAATCCTGCATGGCTACATGCTGATAGAACACCTAGAAAGGTTACAGAATTTGGATGAGTTCCAGATTCCAACATGGCTTCAAAAACATTTAGTGCTTCAGTCGCTAGCCCATGGTGTGAAAATCCCATGATCATAGAATTCCAAGAAATCAGGTCATGAGAAATCATGTGCGAGAATATTTTATATGCATCATGTATCTCCCCACATTTTGCATACATTGAAATCAGAGAATTATCTAGAATCAAGTCAGTAGCTGATAATGTTTTTATCAGCATTGCATGCAATTGCCTCCCTTGATCAAGACATGCCAATGCACCTGTAGCTCCAAAAAGAATAGCATATGTAGAACTTAAAGGACTAAATCCATGAGCCTGCATCTCTGTAAACAAATTAGTAGCTTCAGCAAAAAGTTCATTTTGGACATGTCCTGAAATCATTACTGTCCATGCAACTGAATCTTTTTCAGGCATGTTCTGGAACAGATGGCATGCTTCGGATACATTTCCAATACTGAAATATCCATCAATCATTGAAGTCCAGGTGATCTTGTCTCGAATAGGTACAGTGTCGAACAAATTCTGAGCCTTCTGCAGTTGGCCAATCCGAATATAACCATTAATCATGCAGTTACAAGACTGAACAACATAATGATTTGAGTTCTTGTTAAATATAAAATGTGCAAAATCCATGAAGCCAAATGAAGAGTACATGTAAATAAGGCTCTCCGATAACCGACCATCATAATCACCATACTCAAACCTGTTTATTATAACCTGAGCATGTAACTGCTTGCCAAGACGATGGAATCCTATGCCAGCACAAGAATAAATAAGTGAAATAAAAGTCTCTGTATTTGGTATTATGCCAGAGCTCCGCTTCATCTCAAGAAGAAGCAGCAATGCATCTTCATAAAATCCATTCCAAGTAAACCCACTAATCATGGCTGTCCAAGTAACAACATTTCTCGCAGGAGTCCTCTGAAAGAAAAAATACCCTTCCTCTACCTCACCTACCCTACAATAACCTGCTATCATACTTGTCCAAGTAACCACATTCCTATCCTCCATCTCATCAAACAAAGCCCTTGCTTCTTCCATTTTACCATTCTCCTTGTACCCTGCAATCATTGCATTCCAAGAAACCACATTCTTGACTGGCATCCTATCAAAAACCAACCTTGCATCCTCCAAATCTCCATTTTTAGTCAAAACAACAATCATTGCATTCCATGAAACGACATTCCTCTTCGGCATCTCCTCGAACAATCTTCTCGCCTCACAAATCCTTCCTGCATCTGCCAAGCCACAAAGCATACAAGTCCAAGAAACAACATTCCTCTCTGGCATCTCTTCAAATAACCTCATTCCCTCACTTAGCCTCCCACATTGCAAAAATCCTGATAACATTGCATTATAACTGACAACGTTTCTCTCAGGCATCATGTCAAAGAGGGCTCGAGCTTCATCAATGAAACCACTTTTTGAGTATTTAGTAACCAAAGAAGTCCAATAAACAATACGGCTATGAGAACTTCTCTCAGGCATTTTGTTGAGCGTGTTATGTGCATCACGTAGTCTACCCTGTGATAAGCGATTGAGGAGTTGGTAGTCATTAAATGTGAGTTTTGGGTAATAAGTTGTCGAAAATGTGATTTTGGATATAAAAAAACGAGCATCTTTTAGTGAAATTCGTTGAAGGGAGAATTCAATTACTCTGAAAGAAAAAGCGGGCATTAACAGTTTTTTAAAATGATAAACGGTTAAAGTGTCACCAGTCAAGTTAAAGGGTTGATGTTCCCTTATAATTGCATACGTGTATTTTTTAGTAAAAAAAAGGAAAGAAAGAAAAATTAGGCAATTTTCTGTTTCTTGGTCTTCTGCTCCCTCCCTAGCAACTGTAAAGCATCCGACAATAGAGTTTCTCGATGAGGACGCTAGAACCAGATTCGTCTTTCAATCTCGGCCAATCCCATCTTCACTCGCGGATCAGCAATCTCAACAAGAATCGCTTAACAAACCGCTAGTCTTCATTGCAGTTATCTTCTCTTCCGTTTTATTGATTTTTTCGATTCTTTATCTCCAAACTGAAACCTTTAAATCTCTCCTCTTTTGGGTCTCCATCTCCTTCTTCATTGGCCCTTTTGCACCATCTAACGTCACTGGTGGTGACATCTCAGTCGGTCAAGGTCCAATCGTCGAGACACATGACGAAGAACCTGAAATTTCCACTGAAAAGAGAGTGCCCAAGAGGAGATCAAAAGCGATCAGATCTGAGGAAACTGTGATTGGTCCAATTCAAGGTGAAGAAAAAACAAATGGGTTATCAATTAAAGACAAAAGAGATGAAGTTTCAGGAAATGTTACAAATGGGTTTATTGCAAATGAGGGAGACACGGAGTGGAGCGAAGAGGATTTACATATATTGAAGAAACAAATGGTAAAGAATCCTGTAGGGAAGTCAAGGAGCTGGGAGGTGATTGCTGTTAAAGATCATAGGAGTAATAGGAGTAATAAGGTGTCGTTATGTGATCGGTCCCTCTTACAAGGACCTGTTGAATAAAATATGGAGTTATAAGGTGTATTTAGTTAATATTTTCCTATTCTACTGTTGGGTGTATTTAGTCGTTAGAAGTCCATGTTTAGCTCTTTCTTTGACTAGTTTGGTAGCTAACACAGCCACATAATCTGATTTGTGATTCACAGTTGATTATCTTCGTTATTCTTCGGATTTAGTTTAGACTTAGTCTATTTTGTACGTCTATATAAGAGAAGCCGTGTATGTTCATGAATTATGAGTTGAATCTGAATTAAAAATACAACAGTGGCTGCTTTTTCTTCTTGAAAAAAAAAAAAAACACAAATCTTATTTTCTTTCTTGGTATCAGAGCCTGAACATCATTTTGCTCATGGCTTTCTCATCTTTGTCACTAAAATGTCGGCAATTTCGTCACTTTGAAACTCACCCAAACAAATTACCTTCTATGGCGTGAGCAAGTACTAGGACTTCAATTTCTCACTTTGAAACTCACCCCAAACAAACACCCAAACAAATTACCTTCTATGGCGTGAGCAAGTACTAGGACTTGCCGAGAGTCAAGATCTCTTAAATCATCTCACAGAAGAACCACTAATGAATCCGGCAGGATCAGACAAAGCAACAGAGCAATCACTTCAGAATTTCGCTGCTTGGCAGCAAGCAGATCGTCTTCTTCGAGGGTGGATAATCGGCACACTCTATGAAGAATCTCTAGGGCTTGTAATTGGGCTCGATACGGCCTTTGCTGCCTGGGATGCCTTAAAAGACTCATATGCACAGGAGTCTTAAGAAAGGGAGTTTACACTCCATCAACAATTGATCTATCTTCGCAAAGATGACAGCGTCAGCATTGGTAATCACATTCGTCAATTCAAAAATATTTGTGACAGTTTGGCTGCTATTGGCCGTCCAATTCAAGAAAAAGAAAAAATTTATAGCAGCCTACTCAATCACAAGTCTTGGTCCACAATATGAGACCTTTTACTACCACAATGCTCCAATACCACCAAGACCAACTTATTCAAAATTGGGATTTAACAACTCAACAAAATCATGAATCAACGACGAACCTTGGTTTGCAAAATTCTGCAATTTCACCTTGAAGCGTTCATACGCCTCATCTGGCGTCTATACCTCAACAGCAAAAAAATCGGCAGATTTGGCTGATCAAAAAACTCGTCTTTAGATTCAAAAAATTCTCACTCAAATTTTACTTCTGCAGGTCGTGGGTTTCAGGCGCAGAATCAAACAAATTCTTCAGGTCAGCAGCAACGACCTCCACCACCAGGGAAGAGACGTATAACAGCTGCAGAACGTGAGCTTTATCGAGATGAGACCTGTCAGTTTTGCAACAAAACAGGACATATCACAAAAATTTGTTGGTGGATTCCTTCATCTGCGTCTCAATCTGGTGTTCTTCCTCAAGCTTTGGCAGCCTTGACACTTGATAATATTGTTACAGACCATGATTGGATGTCTGACATTGCAGCTACGAATCACATGACTGGAAGTGAAGGTATGGTGTCTAATTTACATACTTATGCAAGTAGTGATTCGGTTATTATAGGTGATGGTTCTTCCATCCCTATAGCTGGTATTGGTAGTTCTGAAGTTCGAAAAAATAATCATTTGTTGCCATTGTTTGAGGTTTTGTATGTTCCTGATTTAAAAAAGAATTTGTTATCGGTAAGTAAATTAACTTCACAGTTTCCTGTAAATTGTGAGTTTACTAATGATTCTTTTATTGTGAAGGAACGTAAGGAACGGATAAGACAGGCGCGTTAATCATCGTAGGACAAAGAAGGGGTGATTTGTATACAATTTCTAATCGTCCTGAAAGCTAATTTTCATTTCCCGTTTCAAGTCTTCAAGTCTTGTAGTGCTGATGTTTGGCACCAACGCCTTGGACATCCACAAATTTCTGCTTTAAATTGTTTGCATAATAAAGGCCTAATTGCTGTTAATGGCCCTTTAAAAATAAATCAAGTGTGTGACAGTTGTCAGTTGGGGAAACTCAGCAAATTTCCTTTTAAAAGAAGTGTTAATTCTACTACTACTGCTTTTGAAAAAATACAGTGTGACTTATGGGGACCAGGTCCTGTGTTATCTATTGGAAAATTTAAGTTTTATGCTTGTCTTGTCGATGATTACACCAAATACACTTGGATAATTCCATTACGTGCGAAATCTGATTTTTATTCGGCTTTTATTGCTTTTGAAAACTATGTTCAACGTCAATATATCAACGTCAATATAATGCTGTTATCAAAATTTTTCAATCAGATGGAGGGGGAGAATTTGTTAATTCTGCTTTGGCTACTCATTTTCTACAAACTGGAATAATTCATCATATTTCTTCATATACACCAGAACAAGCTGGTATAGTTGAACGTCGACATTGCATAATACGTGAGCTAGGAATGTCAATGTTGTTTCATAGCCGTGTTCCGTTATCTTTTTGGGTTGATGCTTTTACTACTGCAGTTTTCTTAATTAATCGTTTACCCTCATCATCCATTTCATTTGATTCACCATTTTTTAAGTTACATAAAAAGCATCCAGATTATTCCATGTTACGTGTTTTTCGATGTAAGTGTTTCCCATATATTTGGGACACCAAGAAAAATAAATTTGATCCAAAATCTACTCTTTGTGTTTTTACAGGATACAGTGACAAATATAAAGGTTACAAGTGTTACGATATGAAAAATCGTAAATATATTATGTCGAGACACGTGGTATTCGATGAAGAGTGTTTTCCATACAAATCAGCAACTAATATTTGTACACCAGTACATGTTACACAAGTGTTTGATTCATGGATACCAGCTTCTGCTACTGTGTCATCTGCTTGTCATCTGCTATGCAGGATTCTACCTAGTCATTATCTTTAATTCCAATTCCTTCTCTTTTCAATCAAGCCCAACCTAATACGATTTCGACAGCCACGATCCCTTTCTCCACGACTGAACCAGCTTCCCATTTACATGTCCCAATTTCTCTGCCACAATCTGCCACACCAGTCTTTGTTCAACATTCTTCGACTGCTTCTTTACCATTCCCACATCATTCGTCACCGATACCCATCACACCATATTCCCCTATTCATTCGCCATCATCATCCGCTAATTTCACATCGCAACATTTAGAAATGCAGGAAACTGATCTCCCTTTGCCAACGCCAGATCCCACTTCAGATATTCCAATTGCTGAATTAGCAACAGATTCTACTTCTCTTGCACCTGTTCTTGCTCCAAATCGCCATTCTATGACAACTCGATCTCAATCTGGTATTGTTAAACCAAAACCCTAGGTATGCTCTTGTCACAACCATGGATTCCTCAATTCCTAAGGAACCACGTACTGTCAAACAAGCTTTGGCACATTCTGGATGGAAGAAAGCTATGGAGGAGGAATTATCTGCTCTTCACAAAAATGAGACTTGGACTTTGGTTCCTAGGACGCATGACATGAATGTGATAGGGTCAAAATGGGTATTCAAGGCGAAGCTTAAATCCGATGGTTCCCTTGATCGATTAAAACCACGGTTAGTCGCAAAAGGATATCATCAAGTTGATGGTCAAGATTTTACAGAAACTTTTTCTCCAGTTGTTAAACCAGGAACCATTCGACTTGTTCTTTCAATTGCTTTGGTTCGACGGTGGCAAGTTCGACAACTTGATGTTAAAACAGACAAATTGATGTTAAAAATGCTTTCTTTACATGGTCATCATTTCTGAGAATCTTTATATGGATAGCCCGCTAGTTATGGTGTATGGTAGATTTGCAATATTCTTCATATGTGTGTAAACTGAAGAGGGCGCTGTACGGCTTAAAACAAGCCCCACGTGCATGGTTTGACAGGCTAAGTAGTTTTTTAGTTTCTTTTGGTTTTCTCTGCAGTTTAGCTGACCCTTCGCTTTTTATTTTTCATTCATTGCAAGGCACATTAGCCTTGTTGATTTACGTTGATGATATGCTTCTAACAGGGTCTTCTCCAACATTAATTGATTCGTTTATTCAGTTGTTGTGTAGGGAATTTGCTATGAAAGATCTAGGCCTATTGCATCATTTTTTGGGTATTGAATGAAATTACACAAACAGAAGATGGGTTGTTGCTAAAATCAAACACATTAATGACTTTAAACTTTGCTTGATCGGTTTGGAATGCTTGACAGTTAAACCCGATGGCCTACAGCCTTTGGAAATAAAACCAAATGTTACAAGTCCCTGCTGCTCCTGTTGATCCTCAGTTATAATCGAGTATTGTTTGGCCGTGCATATTTAACATTAACCCGTCCTGATCTTATACAATGTGAAATTTATGTTTCTCAATAATATGCGGACCCGATGGTGTGCACATGAAGTTTTGTTCATCGATTCTGTTCCGGTAATGTGGAAAGGAACTCCTGAGTCTAGGAATTACATTTAACTTCCATTCTTCATTAATTTTTGAGGGGTTTTGCCGAGCCCTGATTGGGCCTGGATGTCCAATTACCTAGGCGCTCGACCACAGGGTACTGTGATCGTTCCGTGGTTGCAATTTTTTATCTCGTGGATGGTAGCCAAGAAGCAACCACACTTGTCTTCCTCGTTCCGTACCGAACGCACTGAATTCAGAGCAGACATGGCTCTTACATAACAGCTGTAGACTAGTAGAAGCTCGGGCGACATTCGAGCTTACATAATCTTTGGGCTCAAGATTTTCGATTCCCATCGACTTGCCAAGAAGCAACACACTGTCTCTCGTTCCAGTACCGAAGCTGAATACAGAGCAATGGCTCATACAGCTGCTGAGCTCACTTGGCTTACATATTTGCTTCAAGATTTTTCGATTCCCATGACTGTGTCGCCTATACTTTACTGTGATAACTTGAGTGCTCTTTATCTCACTGTGAATCCAGTGTTTCATGCCAGGAGTAAGCATATAGAGTTGGAATACCACTTTGTTAGAGAACGGGTTGCACGTGGTCTTCTAGTTACTAAATATGTTCCAACAGATCAATAGGTTGCTGACATCTTCACCAAACCAATACCAAAATCTGCCATAGCTATGTTTCACAGCAAACTCTGCCTCCTGCCCCGGCAAAGTTTGAGGGGGGTGTTAAAGATCATAGGAGTAATAAGGTGTCATTATGTGATTAGTCCCTCTTACAAGGACCTCTTGAGGAAAATATGGAGTTATAAGGTGTATTTTGGAGAGATAAAGTTAGTTAATATTTTCCTATTCTACTGTTGGGTGTATTTAGTTGTTAGAAGTCCATGTTTAGCTCTTTCTTTGACTAGTTTGGTAGCTAACACAGCCACATAATCTGGCTTGTGATTCACAGTTGATTATCTTCGTTATTCTGGAATTATCGTTCGGGTGACCGCGTCATCAAATGGGAAACGGCAGCAGCAAAAAATGTCATTCAAAAAACCACGCCAACACTGTATTCTCTCAAGAGTGGAAGGCTGATCCAGACATATAGTCTCTCTCGCGCATGTAACACAAAAATAAGTAGTAGCATGAACGAAGGGCGGAAAACAACGCAGAACACACAAAGAAGTTATATTTTTTTATTTATAACCAACATCATCATTGTGCTCCATCGTAAATCGCACCACATAATCTGGCTTGTGATTCACAGTTGATTATCTTCGTTATTCTTGGGATTTAGTTTAGACTTAGTCTATTTTGTACCTCTATATAAGAGGAGTTGTGTATGTTCATGAATTATGAGTTGAATTTGAATTAAAAATACAACAGTGGCTGCTTTTTCTTCTTTAAAAAAAAAACACAAATCCTATTTTCTTTCTATTGCGGAGGCTTTTAATGGGAAGCATAAAGTAGAGAGTGTAATAAAGATGGCAAAAGAAATGGGGGAGAACAAATTAGATGATAATGATTCCTATGCGAAGTTTTAAAAGAATAGGAAACCATTGGAAACAAAAGTTCAAGCTAAGATTGGTGGAAAAGAGAGTGTTGAAAATAAGAAAGATAACGAAGATATTGGTGGAGTGCCATGGAGTGCAGGAGATGACATTGCATTACTAAATGCTTTAAAAGCATTTCCCAAGGATGTGGCAATGAGGTGGGAGAAAATTGCAGCTGAAGTTCCTGGGAAGTCAATGGCAGCTTGTAGGAAAAGAGTTGCTAAATTGAAAAGGGATTTTCCGAGTTCGAAAGCTGGTGCCGAGAGTCAGCTTAAATTTTTTGAAGTTTGATTGCAACTGAATTTTGACCATGAGGCAGCATTTGAGAGGCAATAGCTAGGTGATTTAATATCTGTCTTTACTCTAGTTTTTCCACGATCTTTTGACACGAGAAAAGTTGCTGACTATACTACATTTTTGTTCATACATAATTTTCTCTATTATCTGTGGAAACTTGTTATAATAAAATTGAATGGCTATTTGGTTAATTGCAGTGTCTTGGTTGAGGAAAGCGGTGTGGTTCTGTCATCTTTCATGCTTATTGATTATTTACGAGTTTATGGTTGATGAAAGTTTAGCCTCCATGTATGTTTTATCATCATTTGTTTGTAGTCGCCAAATTGAGGATCTTAAAACTTTTTACTATAAAATGTCAGGCAACTAAAGATTTTTGATTCCCTGCTCTTCTTCTTGGAAACAATTAAAATGAGTTTATATTAGGCATAAGGTTTGAATTAAGATAGGTGCTTAGTTCTCTTTTCATTTAAAATTAAAGTGTGATGTAAATGTGATAGCAGCAGTAGAAAATAAAAAGAAAAGAAAGAAATTTTATGGAGAAAAGGGAAAGCTTTATTTGCTTAGTCCGTATGGAGAGGACCAGACTCCTTACAACTCTGATTGACTCCTTACAACTCTGATTAATACTTCAATATAATATCAATAAAGAACAAGAAAATGAAATATAAAATACTACAGAAAAGCAAATCAAATCCTAAATAATTGGGAAGTGGGAAGTGGATAAGTGATAACTGCAGCAGGCAGAAAAATCAGGCATGTGAAGCAGTTTCTATACTCTGAGAAATTCCAGCAACTGATTAATTCCATCTTCTCCAACAGTTTTGACTTCTTCCAAACGCTCAAAACCCATGTGCAAAGCACTTGAGGAGTTAAATTTTTTTCTTGAATAAGTTTTCAGAGGCGGGTTTGTATCAGTACTCCCCCGTTGAAACCTCGACTTGTCCTCAAGGCGAAATTGAGGGAACTGGTCAACCAAAAGGTCGTACTCCTCCCAACTTGCTTCTTCTACTGGATGTTTTTCCCACTGAATGAGGAGTTCCAAAGTTGAAGTGCCTGAACGATGCAACCAGCGGTGGTCTAGGACTTTTGCAGGTGTTAATTCCAGTTCCCAATTGTCATTTACTAGCAGCGGCGCTGGTGTAGTCAGAATATGGTGGCCAAGTGCAGGTCGAAGCAATGAAATGTGAAAAACAGGATGAACCTTAGCATCGGATGGGAGCTCAAGCTCATACGCTACTGAACCAACTCGCTTGATGATTTTATAAGGTCCAAAGAACCTAGGAGACAACTTGGCATAGCGTCGGCGAGTAAGGGACTGTTGGCGGTACGGCTGAAGTTTCAAAAGGACATAGTCACCTACTTTAAAGGATAACTCCCTGCGATGAGCATCTGCTTGTTGTTTCATACGTGTCTGGGCTTTTTGCAAATTGTCTTTGAGGATTTGAAGTTCATACGTGTCTGGGCTTTTTGCAAATTGTCTTTGAGGATTTGAAGCATGACATCACGTTCTAAGAGTTGTGCTTCCAAATCAGCGATGTGAGTTTCACCACGTACAAAAGGAGTTAGCATAGGGGGTTCTCTTCCATAAACAATTCGAAAAGGTAAGGTGCCAGCTGAAGTGTGAAATCCTGTGTTGAAGGAATATTCTGCCTAAAAGAGGAATTTGCTCTATGAACGGGGTTGCGCCAAGGTGAAGCACCTCAGATAAGTTTCCAAGCAATGGCTCACCACCTCAGTTTATCCATCTGTTTGAGGGTGGTAAGCAGTACTAACCCGAAGCTTAATCTGACTGAGGCGAAAGAGCTCCTGCCAAAAAGTGCTAAGGAAGATGACATCTCGATCTGATATGATGGAACATGGAAGGCCATGGAGGCGCACAATCTCCCTGCAAAAGATTTCAGCAACCGACTTGGTAGTGAATGGGTGAGCAAGAGGGATGAAGTGAGAATACTTACTCAACCTATCAACTACCACTAAAATTGTGTCAAAGCCACCAGATTTAGGAAGACCAGAAATAAAGTCCATTAAGATGTCCTCCCAAATTTTGGCTAGAATCAGTAGGGGTTGTAATAGACCTGCGGGTGCCAAAGCTTGGTACTTAGCCTTCTGACAGATGAGACAATTCTGCACATAGGCTTTGACATCTTGCTTGAGATTTGGCCAGTAAAAGGTAGAACTGAGATGTTTCAAGGTCTTCAAATACCCGCCGTGGCCTGCTGTTGAAGTGTCATGAGCTTCAGCTAAAAGTTTCTGTCGTAAAGCCATATCATTTGGGATGACCAAACGAGTTTTGTAAAAAAGCTTAGAATTGGTCACATGAAAATCTGGATAGGAAGCCGGATCTGTTTGGAGGGCAGCTGGTAAATCTCGGGTATATTCATCGTCTTGTAATCCTTGGGCCCAATTGGAGAAATTGAGCGAGATAGGAATTGCAAGTGCCAAAAAGTCAACATGGTGTGGGCGACGTGAGAGTGCATCATCGCCAATATTTTCTTTACCTACTTTATAAACAATAGAAAAGTCAAAAGGTAAGAGTTTCAGAAGCAATCTCTGTTGTTCATTGGTGGAAAGGCGCTGCTCCAAGAGATATTTTAAACTTCTATGATCTGTACGAACATAAAAGTGGTTGCCCATCAAGTAATGTTTTCACTTTTGTAAAGCTAGAACCAAAGCCAAAAGTTCTCTATCATAAGCAGATTTGAGGCGGCTGGAATAAGATAACCCTTTGCTAAAATAAGTAATAGGGTGATCATCCTGTAGCAAAATCGCTCCCACTCCCTTAGAGGAGGTGTCACACTCTACTGTAAATGGGGAGGAAAAATCTAGAAGTCGAAGAACAAGAACAGATGTGAGGGCCCTTTTAAGAGTAAAAAATGCAGAGTCGGCTATTGGGTTCCAATGGAAGGCATTCTTTTTTGTAAGAGCAGTGAGGGGCCTAGCTATCAGCCCATAATTCTGCACAAATTTCCTGTAATATCCAGTGAGCCCTAAGAATCCACGTAATTCCTTAACAGAGGAAGGAATTACGTGGATTGGAAGGTTTTCAAAGGTGGGTTTGTATCAAAATGTTGTGCTAATTTCATTCATGTCATGCATATCATACTGCTACTTTGCAGAGGTAGGTAGTGTTAGGCACAACTACAGTTTCTTTATTGGTTGCCTTTCTTTATTGGTTAACTGCGAGTTTCCAAACCATTATGTGAATTTCTGCGCTTCAATTCCATTCTTATTACCTTCCGATTCAACAATTTAATCTTAGACCAAAAACATTTTGGCTGCCTAAATGAATATTTGCCAGACTGTTGTTTACCTTGTCAATTTGTTGCACATTAATGGATTTAATTGAAACTCAACTTCTTGGTATGATAATGCAAGAGAGGGTATTGGCCTAGAGGGGTTCAAAGTTGGGGATCAGTTAGCTAATAGAGATTGATAGGTGTTATTTTTATAGTATTTTTAATATAGTTTTTATTAGGATTTTTAGTATTTTTAATTACTTTAATTAGTTTTTATTAAGTTTAATTCATGTTTTTGTTCAAAGCTTCCTTGAATCATATATCACTTGATCTTGAGGAATTTTGTAGGAGTTTTTATAGAAAACCAGCCAAAATGCAGAAAAGACTGTACCCAAGCCGTGGCAGATAGTACGCCCAAAGACCAGATTTCGCATTGGGCCGAGAATGTCAGTTTCAACCCATACCGCTTGCATGGACCCGCATGAGATGCTTTTCTGATGTGCGAATCAAGTTTAAATCCTATTTAGATGCTAGGAGAGTCCTAATTGGAAATAAATACAAAGCCTAACAGTTTCCTATTTTCAAAAGATTTCTTACTCAATAAAGATTCATTTTCCTAAACGAACACGAAGATATTCCAGAGAGTCTATATAAATAGGAAGACTAGCCATAGTCAAGGAAAATCGATTCATTGTATATTCCATCTCGCTGGTTCTATAATCTTTTGTTCTATTATTTTTCTCTCTTTAAGACCTCAAGTGATCAAAAATTGTGTCAAGATTCAAGGAAGTCATCCACGTTATTTGACTAGTTTTTATCTCTAAACTCTAAATCTTGTTTTTAATTTTCATTATTCACATTGATTATGGAATTATTATCAAGTTTAATTAAGTTTTATTTAATTACTATGTCGAACTAAACTCTTATACTATGGATTGGATGTAGCTTAATTTCTTTTCCAATTTATAATATTAGATTTGTTTTTCTTTGTTCAAAATATAATTCATTATTTATATAATATGTAGATTGTTTTTCTTGTGGTCAAAATATAATGCATTATTAACTAATGGCTTCAGGCAGAAATTTCTCCCCTGGATTGATTTATTTCATTAATCACTATCAGGAGAAGGATTTTGACATGAAACAGGTAATAAATTATATTGAGAATAATAACTTGATGCAGAAGCTATATGGTTTGACTCATGGAGGGTTTCATAAGTTAACAACCTTAGTTTATGATTCATAAACAACCATAAAACTTAATGATTCTAATTCATGATTTAATTGCACTATTGAGAAGGATAGGTACATTTAGATCAGAGTTAAAATAGCTAACAAATAACTCGAAGAGAGTTGTTAGTGATCTTTAGGGTCTTGTTTTTCATTACCTTGAACAATCTAAAAATTGATTAATGAACTGATAAAACAAAGTTGGATAGATTAGTGAAGTCAAAATTCCTAGTAGTTTTAATTCATTGATTCTTTTAATCAAAAATTGCTTGCTTGATCTTCTTTTTATTATCTTTTTATTTGTTTGAATTTAAGTTTCTTAAATAAGTTCCCTAAATTGCCATTTAAAATAATATTTAGTTAAACATTAATTTTGGTACTTGATATTACAATCTCAATACAATCCTCGAGGGAATGATACTCTACTCATTATATATTACTTGTTGCAATTTCGTACACTTGCGAAAATCACTGTCAAGTTTTTAGCGCCGTTGCTGGGGATTGGCTTTACCAATATCAATACCAATT